GAGGATTCATTAGATAATAACTGCCTTCGTTAAGACGTTTCCTTTGCGCTTTTTCGCGCGCGCGTGTTTTAACGCATCGCGCATGCGGCGCACTTTAACACTGTGAACACCGTGATCTCGTCCGCTTTGACTCTTGCTGACGTCACGTGGATGTCCGACGCCCATCCGCCGCAGCGAGAGTCTCGTGAGGCAGAGAGAATCGACAGTGTGTAGTGTGGGTGGGGGGTGGGGGTCATCCGCGCAGTTTGTGGGTTGGGAAAATATCCCCCACGGGGAGGCGCGTCGACGTAACATCTGTAACAGCTCAAAATACAATGCAAGCTGGCTGCTCGCTGTGCGCCTGGCCTGCTGCCCTGCTCGTGGTGTGGTGGTGGTGGTGGTGGGCGGCTGGTGCGCCTACTGCTTGCTGCTGCTGCTGCTGCTGCTGGCTGCTTTGGCTGCTTGCTGCTGCTACTGCTGCTGCTGCTTCTCTGCTGGTGGTGCGCGCTGTGCTTGCGTGGTGCTGGATGGTGCTGGTGTGATGATTGCGCCCTATTACTCTTACTACTACTACTGACTACTACTGCTGCTCGCTGCAGCTGTTCGTTGTTGTTTTGTGAATGTTGGTTGGGTGGCTTCGGTCGCGTGGTTGACTGGTGTTGGTTGGTGGTGGCTGTTGGTGATGGTTCGATAAAATGGCGGTGGCGTGGCCGGCCAGTGCGCGGTGCGCGGTAGCGTGCGTGGTGTGTAGTGCTTACTACTGCTTGCCGCCTCACTACTACTACTACTCACTACTACTACTACTACTCTACTAGCTACTTAACTACTAGCTACTACTACCTACTACTACTACTACTATACTTACTACTACTGCTGGCTGCTTGCTGCTGCGTGCCTGCTTGCTTGCGTGGCTGGTGAGTGGTGCTGCTTGCTGCTGCTGCTTGCTGTTACTGCTGTTACCTGCTGTTACTACTGCTGCGTGGCTGCTGCTTTTACTTACTCGCTGCCTGTGCGGCTGTCTGCTGGTGCCACTCAATATATCATGTTAATCTTAGCATTTCGCTAACCTTTAGATATCGACTTTGCGAGGGTGGCGCGCGTCTGTCTGTTTGTTTTTTGTTTTATTCTCTCCCGTATCGCGTGTATGCGGGGAGCGTGCGAGCTCAATCATGATGCTAATTAAACCACACGTACGGGGGCAGTTACACGCAGCAGTTAGACACAGCAGTTACACACAGCAGTTACACACAGCAGTTACACACAGCAGTTACACCACAGCAGTTACCACACAGGCAGTTTACAGCACAGCCGCAGTTACAGGTATATTATGCACAACCAGCGGCACTGGCAGTTACACCCAGCAGATTACATAGCAGTAGTTAGCTTTTACAGTAATTAAGTTGCCAACATGGAAGCGCAGTTACCTAGCAGCAGTTATGTTACGCTTGAGTGGTCGCATGGGACCAGTTACAGGAAGGGCACCGATCTGCTGTGTACCGCGATTCGGTGAAACTCGAGAACATAGAAGTATGTACGCTTGTCCTTTTAATTCACCTCGTTGAAACTTTTTCTCTAAGGTTCACCAAGAAGAAGATGGAACATCCTTTTATTGGGGAATCAATTAAGAAGACTGGCGAAATAATAATTTCCTAAGTGTGTGTGTGTCACTTGACATCTGTCGCATGCAGAGAAACGAGATCTCTCTCCATATCTGCTCCTCTCCTCGTCGTCTCTCATGCTCTCTCTCTCACCCTCTCTCTCTCTCTCCTCTCCTCTTCTCTCTCTCATCTCTCTCCTCTCCTCTCTCTCTCTCTATCTCTCTCTCTCTCTACTCTCCACGCTAAACGGGTCTTTTTCTGGTATGGCATCCCTCGACTAGGGCTTTCTCCCTCTATATCACGCGTATCCGACCTTAAGCCTTGAGTCGCTACGATGAATAAGAGACAGAATCCAGCCTACTGCACTGAGACCTGCTGAGACGCTGGTAAATAGCAAACGCCGAAGACTAAAATAAACTTGACAACAACAAACATAGGAGTTCGCGGGCAAAACAATATGCTGAAGCGCAAATCAATGACTTTGTGGAAACGCCCGACAAGCTTCTTACGTTGTTTAGAAGAACCTCTTAGGAACTCCGTCCTCTCTCTCTCTTCCGGTCATCATCTCGTCCGTGGTCTCTCTCTCTCTCTCTCTTTCGTCGTCTCTCTCTTCTCTCTCTCTCTCCTCGTCTCTCCCTCCGTGTCTCTCGCTTCCCTGTTTTTTGTTCTCTCCTCTCTCGTTTTGCTCGTCTCTGCTCTCTGTGTCTCTCCTCTGTGTGTGTCTCTCTCTCTGTGTCTCTCTCTCTATGTCGGTCTCGTCTATCTCTGCTCTCTCTTCTCTCTTTTCTTGTATGTTCCCTTTTTATCTCTCTGCCGTTATCCTTTTTCTCGTTCTAATCTCTCTCTCGGTCTCTCTCTCTCTCTAGTCCTCTCTGCTCTCGTCTCTCTGCTCGATCTCTCTCTGTCTCTCATCTGTTCTCTCTCTCTTCTCTCTCTTTCTCTCTGTCTCTCTTCTCTCCTTTTCTCTCTCTTTTCACTCTCA